GCTGTCCACTTGAGCCATTCAGTCTCCTGACGCACATGAGGAGATGGCAGGGAAAGGTAAATACACAGGAGTTTACAATATTGCTCAGAGAGCATGATGGCTCTTGTGCTTGTCCCTCTCCCCACTTCTCTTTGCAACAGTCCATAAATAACAAATTCACCAGCTAGATCACTAATGTGACCTCTTGCATACATAGGATGTGATCATCTAATATTACCTCCTGCATACACAGGACAGGTGTGTTAGAAAGATACCCTCTCTACCTAAGCCTGGTAGACAGAGCATCTGTTACCATCACATCCAACTCAGTAACTTGACCAGCTGGGCACCTCTGTCTAAAACAGGTCAATCTCACACTGTTGTTTTTAAGGCCCTATGTCTGGCTGTCTTATACCCGTTAGTGACATGTGGAGCCAGAGTCCTCATGGAACACAGGTTTCTCTAAGCAGGCCTGGTGCATTTACAACGCTTTGTTCCCTAACTAAGAATGAAGGCACCAAGTGTTGGTGGAGGCTGAAGAGGGACCAAGAATGAGCAGTGACATCCAACCCCCACCTTCCAAAAAGGACCTCAGCAAATCTCATTTCCACATGCGAGTCAGAGGAAAGAAGGTCCTGGAAAAGCTAGAGGTGGATGAGACCTGTCTGTCCTCTTTCTTAGTGTAGCCCCATTTACCTAGTTAACCACTCCAACAAAAATTAATTACTATGGCATCTTCACTCTAAGGCTCTTGGGCACTAAGACATTTCATTAAAAAAACAGTTAGAAATGCAACACAATCATCATGGAAATAAATCATCCTCAGTAACATTCAAATATTAAAAAGGCACTGGGTGGAAGGTAATAAATATAAGGCCAATAGGGATCATTGAAAATAAATTGTCTTTTGATGAAGTCTCTGGGGGTGCTTTGGGCAAGCACAGACAGTTGGATGGAAGTGGCAGACACATGGGAAGTTTCTGATTGTGAAGCTGTTGTGTACTGACAGATCCCATCTCACGGCAGATCTCTTAGCAGGTATTTTAAGGCATCTTTCCTTAAGAATGTAGTTTTGAACAATCTAGCCAGGCTCCGCAAACCAACAGTGAGTGACATAAGGGAGATCATCACAAGCTCTGACATCTGTAGTTGGTTGCTGTGTTCCCCCTATTAACTGTCTGCCACCCATACCAATGCCATTTATGAGTCACTACCTGCAGATCTCCCATCACGCTGGTTGCTCTTCTCCAATCCACTGATTTGTCATGGAAGGCATGAGGAGTGCAACAGAGGATGCTAGCAGCCAGTCTGGTTGGCAGCTCATACATCATTAACGTGAGGTAGCAAGACCTGGGCTGCTTTGGTGATGACCTGCACATACTTTGCCAGCACCTGGCACCCCTGTTGCTTCTTTTTGAAGTGGTTCTTACCCTTGGTGCTCTCACCATAGATCACATCTACCTGAGATACATTGTACCTAGTGCACAGCAGGCAACTCAGGTTGACCATCAGGCCCCGAGTGGTCTTGGTGGTGTTATTCAGCCGCTCCAGCAACTCAGTGACCTTGGGGTTGAGCTCCTCCTGGTCCCTAGTGATGTTGCCCAGGGAGGCATTCAGGAAAGCAAAGATCTTGTACAGGGCTACCACTATCTCCTTCTTCTCACTTGTCTGGTTCACGTGGAAGGCAGGGAAGAAGATAGTATCAGGGTTGCAAAGTTTATCAGTGTGGTTCCTGAATGTATCACCTTGCCATTTCACCTGGGAAAAGGGGGAAAGGAAACAATTACTGGGGATCTAAGACACATCACCTTCCTTCACTCACCCCCCCCCCTCCCCCCTCCCTTACACACACAGCTTTCTCACTTAATAATATACATTTTTGCCAAACATTTTTATCACCTCCTCATATTTGTGGATTTTTGTTAAAAATACAGCTCCTGGAATCATATGAAAATCTTAGCTTTTGTTAAGAAAGGATGTTTCTAGCCTTCTTCCTTGTGGAAAAAGGCTTGACCTTGAAGGTGCCCTAAAAGCTAAAAAACCTTAATAGAAAGAACCTAAACTAATTCAGTATCATGATTATTAAACCAATCTCATTTTTTTCCTCCTTGCAGTGGCCTTAGTAGAGCTAGTCTGGGATCCTCGGGGTGCATCTCCATTTGAAATTTATGCAAAGCAATAAACTCCGGAGCATCTTAAGCTGGAGTAAACTGCTCCTGGGCACAGTATATGCACACCTGCAACAGTAACAATTTGAGCCAGGGCAGAGCAGGCCACTGGCTGGCTGGGCTGACTGGGCACAATTTATATTCCCGGTCAGTCTACACATGCATTTCAGTGCAGTATATTACTCTGCCATAACATAGTACTATCTCTGACAGTATAATTTTATGGCTGAGTTAGTTTACTGTGCCCTAATACTGGTGCACATGTGATGGTGACACTTTACTGCAGAACTAATTAGTCTACTCAGCAGTAAAGGGCACATATGGATGCATACTCACTGTCATACCTGAAGACCTGGTGCTCTACTGTATTTATCCTTATCAGCCACTGTGATAGCAGTGCTATTATCCATACTAGAAGAGATGGGGTACTGATAGTCTAAGGCCTAGATACCTAGAGTTTTAGGTGCTTAAGTCAATCTGATCTCAGTAGCTTTTGGGAAATTGCTTTCAGGGGAGATAAACACCTACCTACCTTTGAAGATCTGAGCCTAAATGACTTTCCTAATGTCACAAAGGGCACATCTACATGTGCATTAATGCACCATAATTACAGTGTATTAAGTTTAGTGCTTGTAATAACACGTACTAAATTAATGCGCATAATTGGCGCTACTGGGCAGTAGCACTGGCACATGTTTTTTACATGACACTAATGCACAGTAGACTAATTTTACTGCACATTAGCATGACTTTCGCTGTGATGTGCTGATGTGCAGTAGAATTAGCCTACTGCGCATTAGCGTCTTGTGTAGACACGCCCAAAGGAAATCTCTAGTGAAGCAGGGATTGGATCCAGGTCTTCTAAGCCCAATGATGGCACCCTAAGTCACTGGATCATTCTCCCCCACCCATTCCTTGGCTACACCAGGGGAAGACCCACCAATGTGCCTTAGTCCTGCTTTGCAGCTCTTTTTGCTCAGGGAGAGCAGTTCTGCTGAAAATTGGTGGGGGAAAGACACGTAAGCAGCAAAGCCAGGTGAAGACTCACCAAAGCCTTTTTCCAAAGAAAAGCTGGTAGGTAAACACAGCACTACCCTCCTGCAAGGCCCAGGTGCTTTCCTTCCCAGCAGGCCAACACAATGGCTGCCAATCCTGATCCGGGGTGCTAGGTTTGAGATGGACGAACCCAGGGCATGGTTCTACTACCGTCGGGGCATTGGCCACATCCAAGGCTGCTCTATCTCTGAGATGCAGAATTGACTGTACTCTGCAGTTACGCACAGGGCAAGCAAGCATCTGCCAGTGTCAGTTAAACATTCCCATCGTGGTTCTAGCAAACAGTCTATGTAATGTGAAGTGAAGTGTAATGTGCTGTGGAACATGCAGCTGATAGGGGCAAGTAGGATGGACGAGCGGGTAAGCAGCTCATATAGGTTTTAATCAGGAACCAAAGTTGCAAAGGACCTTTGGGAACTTACATAGATGTTAAAGAGCTCCTGGGCTGTCCCGTTGAGCAGTATCACTTGCTTCCGGATCTGCTCAAAGACCCTGTTGCTGCATGTGTATTTCTTCTCACACAGGGGGCTGGGGGAGTCCACTGGAAGTGCTTTGCCAGCCACCAGTCTGCAGTGCATCACCAACAGCAAGGAGGCAACACCTGCATGCAAAAGATAGAGGGAGGAGTGAGAGAAGATGCCTAGAGGAATGGGTTCTCAGAGCCACTGGCTTTGGAGCTCACATCCCCCTGAGTCAGAAGAGAGCTTGGAGATCTCTGGCTGGAAAGCTCTCAGCACCATACAGCCTGACATTGCTAGCTCCTATGTGGCATGGCAATGCTGGGGTAGAGCAAAAAGGGAAAGAACCCACTGGTTCATGCCCAGATCCACCAGAAGACGGTCTGGTTAGGAACATATGCTACTCCTTGGTAGAGCAGGAGCGTACCTTGCCTCCCCTGTGCTGTCTTGCACATGCCAAGCTCTCATTTGTACTCCTGAGCCCACAGTTTCAGTGTTCCCAGAAATAGGAGCTGGACTTTGCCCATAGCCTGTATTTACAGGACCAGATTCTCTTCTTACTTCTCCCAGGATCACAAGGAAGAAATTGCCCCTGCTTCCCAATTTCTGTCATCCTCCTCTTCCATTCAAACCTCCCCACCTGCCCTGGCTCAGCCCTGACCTGTGCTGTCACAGGAATTCCCCTGTTCATTATTCCTTCCTGTGCAACACTGAGCCAACCGGTTTTGTTCCCAGATTTCACAACCACTCCTAATGCCCTGTCAGGTATGATCAAACATGCAGAGTAATTTCCTGACCGTTATCCTATGGTGCCCAGGCTCATGTTGTTGGAATTAATCAAGGACTAGGGTTTTGATAGTGGGTGACTTAGGTGTCAAAAGCACTCAGCAGGCAGGGTCCCCATTCTGGTTTTTCCACTGGCATGCTGGCTGACCACAGGCAAGTCAGATCACTTCCCTTTGTCTCAGTTTCCCCACCTATCAAATAGGTACAATATGCTGACTTTCTCTGCACAATGTTTTGAGAGTGCCTGATGAAAAGCACCAGGGGAGAGTATTAGTGTCACAGCCACAGTCCCTGTAAATCAGTGACTGCTTCTGCTGTTTGAAAGTGTTGTAAGATGAAACACAAACCTTCAGCAGAATACATGGTACTGCACCTGGGGATGGAGTCATGGGTTGGGCACTGGGTATGGACTCAAGTTTCTGTAGTCTATTCCCTACTCCAGGCTGGACCTGTTGTGTGTCCTTGGGGATTTAGTCTATTCTGTGCCTCATCCAGCTATTTGTAAAAGATCCATTTGCTCAGATAGTCCCATGTGGGCAGTAATGGGAGCCAGGCAGCTTGAGACTTCCATTTCC